AAAAAAAAAAATCCAAAAAAGAGAAAATTATGCACTAATAGATTTAATATTCCCCAGATGCTTGTATCGCTTGGAACAGGATATGGTGTGGGCTCCGCCATGAATTTTTACATAGAATTCTAATTTTAACTTGCATACGGGCTGGAAATAGCAGACAGTGAGCTTGGAAAACTATCCTTTTGCAGCAGTTTTTGCACTGAACCGTGGCTTAAAATGCAGTTTTCATTTTTCTCTGCTCTTGTGTTGTAAAATTAGCGTAATCATGAGCCTGTGGCTATGGGACTATAAGTATTGTTTTTAAACTTTTTAACTCTCATTTTCGATGAGTTAAGCCTATAAAATTTCGATTTCTGTTTTGTTTTTGAATTGTAAAGTAACTCGATCATGGACCCGAAAATGTAGGCCCAGCGTACGAAAAGAATCAGTTTTCAATTTATGACGCTTATAGAGCCGTGTACTGTTACTAAAAGTCAACGCCCTAGCTTTTACAGCTTTGGTTCAAAGCGCGTAGACGTAAGGACAGACAGACAGACACATGCGCACATACATGACTTTACCATAAATTTTTTTTTAAACTTAAAATGTATTAAGCATTTACAGCTGTTTGATGAACGATATGTCTTCGAAGGTATCAATCGACAGGCGTTTCAGTTCGAAATTGTCATTTAGCTTCCTGCAAGAAAAGCAACCAAAATAGATAACGATTAGCACCTCAAAGGCTGCTTTTAAAACAGTTTGAAACATCGATGCAAGCAAACTCACTGTTTCCAGACGTCTCATCCTGGAATGTTAAGTTATAGTTCATCACCCAGAACATTTTAAAAATTAATTCACTGTTTTCGTATCATGCCGGGATCGATCTGTAGATTTACTCGTGAAGCACTTCAGTCATGGCATATCGTGCGTGATCTCTTCACCTGGTAGGGAGAGGGTCAAAATTTTTATGCAAAGAGGAAAAAGTCGAAAAGACACAAAATTTTGTCAAAAGGAAACGAAAATTTTTCTGTGCTGCACATAAAAGTTTAAAAAAAGAGCCAAATTTGTTCGCGAAGCACAAAAAAAATCATATTTTAGAAAATGAAAGTAGAAAGCGAGACCATTTTAAATGGAGAGACGCCAGTTTTGCAAGCAATAAATGTAGCTGATTTCAAAACCGATTTTCCTTCGAAAATTTGGTGTGCCGCTGATGTGAATAGTATTAATGAATGAAAAGAATAAGGAGCCGAGGCAAGGATGAAGGAAGAAAGAGAAGATTCTTAGTATATTTTGAAAAAATGGAACTACAACGCTTCTGTCTATTATAGCTTGATTGCTATATAATGTTTGCGTTGATAAAATGCTACTTAACGTAAAAAATATTTCTGACTTTTTTTTAAAAAAGAACTATTTAATCGACATATTTCAGATATGTCTTCCTACAAATCTTGGTCGATTGCGCTACACTTTTACACACGGAGAATGAAGGTACTTGGTGCAGCCTATAAAACAGCACAAACTGGCGAATCTATCAAAACATATGACAGTATTGAGTTATCGAATCGACGGACTTACAATAGTGAAAACTGGCAGTTAGCGAACACATGGCTTCCGATCTCGCGCAAGTCATTGTTGTTAAGCTGAATTTTGTTGGCGTGCACGGCGCGCAATTGGCCATCACCGAGATACTCAATGTGGTTATAGGAGAAATCGATAAGCTCCAGCGCAAACCGATGCTTTGATGTCATCTCAAGCGTTGGCATACGCACCAGTCCGTTGTTGTTCATAATCCGGAAACGATCATGAAATAATAGCAAAAATGCTCAGAAAAATACTGCTTTTAGTTCCCTCTGATTACCGAGTTAAACGGATGCCAGTACTTCCCGGGCTAGATATTCATTTGCACACACGCGAAAACTATGTATGTTATAAAGCTGAATTTCAAATATTAAAGGTCGCATATTGGCATAAAATGCCCTCACAAAGCCTCACCTCTTTAGCTTGACCAGTTGGCGAAATCGCTTCTTGTTACAAACATATTTAAAGCGCTACATATATATCTTTGATGCGCCATTAAAATTTCTGTTTTCTGGCTTTTCTGATTCTCGAGTTAACAATTTCCCCACCAAAAATTTCGTGTACCCGCACATGCGAAACGAGCCGATCTAGGAGCTTAATTTGAAATCTTTGTTTAGCACGCTAGCGGAGAGCATCTTCCCAAAATCTTAGCTTTCTTGGTTTGCTGATTCTCGAGTTAACAGTTTTGCCACCGAAACTTTCTCGTGCCCGTGTGTGAGCTCAGAAGCGCGTGAAATTCGATACCACTTTTCCGGGGTAGCGCTTGGCCAGGAGACGCACTGGCGAAATTTCAGCGATAAAGCTTTGCTGCCGAATTGAAATACCAGGACAGACGAACACACACATACATGAACATACGCACATAATGGATCACCACAACATGAGTTTCCGAACTTGCGTAAATATACCAGAACGCATCAAAACACACAAAAACAGAAAAAAGAGCACAAGAATGAATTTGATTTTACTTTACTAATCTTTCTTTCGTAGTTTAGGAAAATGGCTTTAAAAACTTACAGCGACAAAATTTTCGTGTTGTTGATTAACAATATTCCTGTCACCTCCTTCAAATTTTTGCACCCACTCACAGACCTGAACAATACATTAGTGTCTTGATGTCTTTACCTTCAAAAAAATTCTTGATACTTAATCCTTCCCAAGTCTGTTATCAGTGACAGCTTTTTTGTTGAAGACAACGAGCTAAAAGTAACCTAAAGTGGTTTGCATAATAAAAATATGCTTGATGCTAGAATAAATTTCGTCTTAGCACTTGCACATCACCATAATTAATCTGTTTGTGTCAAAGGCTGAAGTTGATGTCAGAGGCTTTACATTTCAATAGAATAAAGTAACCGACAATTTTCCAAGGTTGAACAGTTTGCCAAAGGCACCCGCGTCAATTGACTGCAGCGCGTCGGAGTCTTCGATTACTCTGCAACGGGTTTTCAATCAAAATCTACCCTTGTTGGATTAAAAAAAACAGTACACTGATCGAATTTCCAGTTTTTTAAGACAGATTCTGTGTTAGATTTCCTTCAAAAGAAGTACGTTCCTGACAATGAAGTAAACAGTGGAGTAACACGATCATGCGTTTTTGCTTTCAGTAATAGGGAATGAGCAGAAAATGTATGCATCAGTGTATAAGAACTTCACTGCAACACAACAATTTTTTGCATAGCTAGCCGTAGCATACCACTAAAATTTCATATTCATAGCTTACTTAGATGTAGAATTATGATCAGCCTGAAACTGGATCTAAGACATATCAAGACACACTGGGGCTCAAAGATTATAAAATAACCGCGTCATGGGGGAGAGCTACAAAAATAGCCTAAACTGCAGTTATTTCATACCGCAATCAAAATTCTTCTTTTGAATAAAAGGTAAGGACCCCTTGAAATATGACAGTTGTCTTCAAATTTAGGTTTAGAGTCAATAGCGTGCTATATTATCAAAATTTCAACTTCGCAGCTTGTGTAGTCTTTGATTTAAATCGATCAGGCAGCTTCTCATATACAAGAACAGAATCGATCATCGCACAATGATCTTTTCACCTAGTACTTTAAGATAGCGAGAAGGGTACATTTCTTCCAAGTGACGATATCTTCGGAA